GGGAATGTGGAAGGAAGGGGACAGGCAGGGACCACACCCAGGCCTCTCACGTGCTCTGCCCTTGCCCCTGAGCCAACTTCCTGGCGGGGGGGGGGGGGGGGGGGGGGGGGCAGGATTCTCCGGCCGGGCAGGGGGACGTTTCTGTTGTGCTCCTACCTGTGGCTCTGGCTGGTTGAGACTCCAGCAACTTCCAAGGGGGCACTGGCACCTGTCATCTGCTTGGAGATGGGGGGGGGGCCGGGGTGGAGACCTGTTTGTTTCCTTGCCCCAAGGACCTTCTAAAGCGGGTGAGAACCCAGTGCCTCCTTCCTTTGCGTTTGTTTGGCTTGGGGGCCTCAGCCAGCTGTGCTCAGGGATGGCTCCTGGCAGGGCTCAGGAGAACGTACGCAGTGCCGAGATCACGCAGTGCCGAGATCGTACTGGGCTGGGGACAGTGCCGGGATCTTACTGGGCTGGGGGCTTGGACATGTGCACATTAGCCTCTGGGCTATCTCTCCTGCCTCGAAGGACTTTTCGGGAAGGAGTCTCTCAGCGGGGTGCTCCGAGCCTCTGCTCCCTGAGAGTCCTGCCCCCATTGGAACCTTGACTGAGAGCCCCATAAAGCGTTGACGGGGTGGGTGGGGCAGGTGTGTCCACATCCCTCATCCCCTCCGAGGGCACTGGCTATCAAGGGCAGTGAGGGCAGCCACTCCTGGTCCTCAGAGGCCTCAGCTGTGACCTCCCCCCTCCTGCTATTTGCTCATTCCAGCCTTCGGGCCTCCCTGCAGTCCTGGTGACTGTCCTGACCAAAACAGAAGTATGTTCTGGGCCCCCCAGGGCGCCCCCCCCCCCCCAAACACAGCTTCCCACAGATGCAGAGACTCTGATTTCTTAGCGCTCTCAGGCACACAGAGGAGTGGCTGGCTTTGTCGGTGATCACGGGATAAAAGCTCTGCCTAAGGCTTTCCCTTTGTTCACAACCCCCCCTCCCTTCCCCCACCACCACCACCACCACCACCACCACCACCGCTTTTTTCCAGAGGGAAACGAGGGGAATTTCTGTCCATGATCTCTGAGTGCTTGGGTTTCTGGTCAGTGTGGACCTTTCTCTTTTTCACCTCTTTTAAAAAACCTTGAGCAGAAGAGGCTGATGTGGCCCAGCTGGGCCTCCACCCCACCACGGACCTGGGCCTCCCCTGGGGCAGCTTTTCCAAGTTTTGCTGAGAACGCTTGTTGGGGCTGGCCTCCACTCTCAAACAGAAAAGCTGGGGAAAAGGTGTCACCTTTTCAGGAAGGATCAGTGACACTGACAGACTTTGGGGGGGTTAGGAGGGGACAGTGTGGGTTCTGCTACCTCCCAGGTCCCCCAGGGTATGGGGAGCCCTCTGCTCTCCTCCCACCCATGACTGAGAGGAAGAAGGGACTTCAGGGAAGGGGAGCTTTTCCCTTCCGCCACTGTTTATAACCTTGGGCTTCTGGGCACTGGGAACCCATAGCACAGACAGACAGACAGACAGACACAGGACTCCCCAGCAGAAAGACCCTGGGGATTGGACTGCAGGCAGCAGGCTAGAATTGTACTGGGGAGTGTTGTCAAGCACGCCTGGTTTCTTGCTCGAAGAGCGGTCACTATTTTTAGCCTGAGAATTTGCTTAAGGAAACATCAGGTTTCTCTGTGGCCTTGGCGTTGTGGAAGGGAGCTGCGCTCCTGTACATTGGTGTGCAGGTCTCAAGCAGAGGGCACCTTGCTTGTCTCACGTTTCAAAATACACCTTTGTGTTTCTGTTGAAGAATTGCTTTGCTTTCTACTATCACCAGAAAGGTGCTGCTTTTTCTGAGATGTTTCCACTTTGAACCCTTCGTGTGTTTTTTGTTTGTTTGTTTTACTTTGGGGGCCTCACTAGGAGATGCTCAGAGGTTACCCCTGGCTCTGAGCTCAGGAATCACTCCTGCTCTGGGAACCATATGAGACACTGGGGGTCAAACCCCGGTAGGCTGAGTGCAAGGCAAGCACCCTACCCTCTGGAATGAGGGCCTGGAATGAGGGCCTCTGAACTATCTCTCCAGCCCCAAGAACCTTTTCTATGTCATTTGTGAATGACTGCTTATAGTTTCCCATAATTTAAACTTTTTTCCCACAAAATTAATAAATTGGCTTTTCCCTTATCATAACAGAGGTCATTTGTATTACTTTGAAAGTGAAAAGAAAGTCACTTAAAAAGTTAATATTTGAATTTGAAGGAGTATAAGATTATGGGTGTTATTAAAACACTTTGGTAGGAGGTGCAGTAACTTACAGCATCAGACCATAAATGTTAACATTATTATAAGCCTAAAAGCTACTGAGAGTATTCGATATGCCAGACACAGTAACAACAAAGTCTCCAATGGAGACGTTACTGGGCCCGCTCGAGCAAATCGACGATCAACGGGAGGGCCTTTACCTTACCTTACCTTTATTATCTGAACTTTAACAATTTGTTTTGTGTGTGTATGGAGGGGGAAAGGGGTTGAGGGTCACCTCCAATAGTGTTTAGTGCTTACTGCTGGCCCTGTGTTCAGGGATTACCCTTAATGGGCTCAGGGGACCATGATGTGCCAGAGATCGAACCTAGTGGGCCATATGCAAGGTAAGCGCCTACCCACTGTACTCTCTCCATCACAGTTATTTTTAAATTAATGTTTGCTGTTCAGAGAAATCACAGCTAGGAATGACCCTTTAGCACAAAAGCAGAAGTTTATAAAAAGAAGTCAGTGTGTGCCAGGAATGTGGCTCAGTGGTAAAGTTCATGCAGGAAACCTGGTTTTGATCTTGGAATTCCACCCCCTCCCCTCCCCCCAAATGTTGAATGCCGAAAGGAAGCAAAGTCATAGATATGATAACCTTTCAGTAATAGTGTTAAAAACCACAAACCACAGTGAAAAGGAGGGAGGTGGGAAAGGCAGGGTCTGGGGGGCAAAAGGGAAACTAGGGGGCCAGAGCGATAGCACAGTGGGAGGGGGAGGGTGTTCGCCTTGCATGCAGCCAACCCAAGTTCAATCCCCTGCATTCCATATGTTCCCCAAGCACCGCCAGGAGTAATTCCTGAGTGCAGAGCCAGGAGTGACCCCTGAGCATCATTGGGTGTGACACCAAAAAAAGGGGAAAAAATGTTTAAAAATACAGAGAAACTGGCGACATTAGTGGCAGGAAACATACACTGCTGAAGGGAAGGGTGTTGGAACATTGTATGACTGAAACTCAGTCATGAACAACTTTGTATCTCGTGTTGAATCAATTTAAAAAATTGTTTTTTGAAGTGCTGAAAAAAGTTAACATTTGCTCCAAATAGGAAATTTGGAAGCTACTAAGAAATGCAAAGAAGATAATCACAGTTAGTCAAGTCTCCTTTAAAAAGTTACTAAATTTTAGGGATAATTTTCAGAGTTGACAGTATTTAGGGGAAGGGGTCCCTGGGCCACACCCAGTGGTTCTCAAGAGCTCCATGTTTGACTGTGACCCCTGGCAGTGCTCAGGGGACCCTGCAGAGCCATGAATGGCAGCCTGCAAAACAAGCACCTTAACTCCTGTACTGTGTCTCTGGCCCTGATGGCATCATCTGATAACCTAGAGTCATTGGCAGTTGAGGATGTCATAGGGTCACACCAAGCCCTGCCAGGGCCCTGTGTGCCAGAGGTGAACTCACGGCCTTGCACAAGCTAGGCCTGAGGTGCTCCTTGAGGAGCCTCCTGTCTGTGAGATAAAAACCTCTTTGGTAGCCAATTCATGAAATTAAGCTTTATTAAGCTTTTGTAAATGTTTTTGTTTTGTTTGGGGGCCACACCCTGGTGCTTAGGGGCTACTCCTGGCTCAGTGCTGGGAGTTGCTCCCAGTGCTGTTTGGGGGACCATGCTGTGCGAATGAGGCCACTTATGTGTAAGGCCAGCGCCTTACACATATCCCCAACTCAAAATGTGTTTTGTTTAGGTTGAGTACAAGGTTTCTTGTTGGTTAAAATGCCCCCCCCCCCCAAAAAAAAAGGAAAGAAAAAGATTAATTCTGCAGAAAATTTATTCTGCTGAGAAACTCACTGGATCATCCTGATGGTTTGTGGTTGTTGTTGTTTTTTCCCTACATGTGAACACAGCAACTGTGATTAAGTGAAATCACAGGTCACCTGCCAGCCCCTTTTCTCAAGATGCAAACAAGCAAATGCAAACACAGTGAAAGCCTCCTCCTTGGACTGCGTCAGAGGAAGGCACCAGGAAGCCTAGAAGTTGTGAAAGGTCAGGGAGTCAGAAACTAAGATCAAAGGGAAGGGCATGAGACATTCACAAGTGAATCACTCTCTCCCAATCAGCGCTGCTCTCTATTTTTAGAAGGTGTTGTATGACTGCAAAGTTCCTTATCATATCCTGCAGGAAGGGCCTCTTGGCCCCGAGAGCTCCCTGCAGCCCGCCCGCGCCCCCCACCCCCATCATAAGACCTGGGGTGCTGTAACAGGCACATTGTTTCATCAGCTTGATATCCAGTAGCAAGCTACGGTACAGGGTTTGGGAAGGGGACAGTGTGAAATGGTCAGTAGAAGTTAACCTGTCCCAGGAAGATGGAGAAAGCATTAGAACAGAAAGGCCTTGCTCTGAGTTCAATCCCTGGCCCTTCAAAGCACTCCTCCCCCCGCCCCCGCACCCCACACAGACACACACACACACACACACTGCAGGGTGTGTCCCCGCTTTTGTTCATTTTTTTTAAAGGCTACTTTGTCCCAGGGGCTGGAGAGATATCACAGCAGGTAGGGCACTTGCCTTGCACACAAGCCAACCCAGGTTTGATCTCTGAGCCCCACCAGGAGTGATCCCTGAATGCAGAGGCAGGGTGTGGGGGGAAAAAAATAATATGTATACACACACGCACACACACACAGAATTTTATCTCAGTTGTGTTTTAGATCCCATTTGTGAGCCGAAGCTTTTCCTCTGCAGTATGTCTTTTGCTCATCTCTCTGAGCTCCAGTCTAACAGGCTCTGGTTTTCCCCAGCTTAAGTGAGAGCTTTTTCATGGTGAAAGGAGCGGCCCTCTTCCTGCAGCAGGGAAACAGCCCTCAAGGCCAGCGGAGTCTGCAGCATCCCCACAAACACGCAGGTAAGACCCATGGCCTCCCACAGTGGCTTCCCTCTGTGGACATCCGGGGCCCGCCGAGGCCCAGGCTGAGCAGGGCTTTGGTTTCCGAGGCCAGTGGAAGAGCGAGCAGCGGCTGCCCTCTCACAGCCCGTGCGATAGATACACCAGGTCTTCCCCAGGGTCCCCCGGAGCACGGCCCTCCAAATAAGCATGCACCAGCTGCCAGCGTGAGAGGCTTGAAAATCATTTTGATTTACTCACCTGCTTTGTTGCGCTTTGAGAGCCACACCCAGTCGGGCTCAGGCCAGCTCTGTGCTCAGGGGCCGATTGGAATCGAACCCGGGACAGCCACCTGCATGGCCAGCATCTTCCTTCCCACTGCTCTCTTTCTCCCTGGCCCCAGAAGGCCACTGCCTTCAGGCCACACAGGTGGGCCTGAGAGCTCAGAGGGCCGAGGCATTCTGCTTGGATGGCCAGGATTCCCCTGGCTCAGACTTCCTTTTTACTGTGGCTGTGGAGTGGTGGCGGGACTCAGTCACCAGATGCGCCAGCAAATGACTACCTTGGGTACTGTCTCTGTACCTTAGTCTGGCCGCCTCGTCGTCCCACTGGACCGTTGGAACATTCAGGGAATTTCCCAGTGAGCCTTGGAGCTCCCATCGGGTCGGAAGTCTTTGTTCTTCTCTGGTGGCTTGGGCTTTGGAAGTGAAGTGGTGAATCCGACCTACTGTGAACGAAGGCCCCAAGAGACGCTGACCAAGCTCTGAAACAGGTTTCCATCAGCAGGCCGATGCTGAGACCACCAGAGCAGTGGGAGAAGAGCAATTCAGGAATCATTTGCACATAGCTGGAATGGCCATGGCTGGAAGAGCCCTTGGCATAGGCCCAGAAGCCTGCAGTGACAGGGCCAGGCTTCCTGTCCATCAGATTGTTCTCTGATCTGGAGTCTATGCCCATCTGGGATCTCAGCACCTAGGTTAGAATCCCAGGTCTCAGTGTTTTCAGGAAACGCCAAGCCCCAAGCAGTCTTTCCATGGGCTGATACTTAATGATCAGGATGTCTTGTCTGCGTGAAGCTCAGGTTAGAAATCATTGACCTGCCCAAGGAAGCTGTCGTGGTCTCTGGGAGCTGGCAGCCAAGGCCTCTGGACAGCCATTGGCAGGCACTTCCGAGCTTCCCTTTCCTCACCATTACAGTGGGCATCAAACACAAGCAGAGTCCAAGGTCACAAAGTTCCGCATTACTTGGGTTCAGTGGGACTTCACTCCTGCGTGAGGCTCGGCCTGAGGGTCCGGAAAGCGACTGCAGTGTGGTGGCAGTTGGCTGGTGGAGGTCGACTACCGAGGCCGGGTCCCTTGGGGTGGGGAGTGCTGTCACCTGCCCCCCTCTGGGGAGCCCTGAGTGAAAACAGCCCTGCACGGAGTCCGGTGGCATGGTTATGGGGAGAGGTCCTTTTTTAAGTGTGTGTTAAAATAGGAAGTTGCAAGGCTAGAGGGAAGGCATGTTCCTTGAAGACAACTTGCAGCTGCCATGGCCCTAATTTTGAATCCAGGGCACCCACTGTGATCAACTGAGCACCGCCAGGTGAGACCCAAAACCAGGAGAAAAGATAAAGAAAGTTGGAAATTTTCTGGAAAATACCGTTTTCAAAACGGTGGCAGCCAGCTCCATCTCGCTCATCCTCGCCTCACATTCTTGAACGTGGAGTGGGAGAAACAGGCTGGAGCCACATGGGCCTCCCAGCCTTCCTCTCAGGAGCCGGCAGGTGACCTTTCCGGCAGGTGACCTTTCCACTCTTTTTTTCTCCCACAGGTGATTTGCCTCAGCATCTTCAAGTGATGATCAACCTCCTGCGCTGTGAAGATAAAATCAAGCTGGTAAGAGGAGATCAAAGTAGCAACCTTGGGTGCTGGAGTGATAATACAGCAGACCCATTTGCCTGGCATGCAGCCAACCTGGGTTCAGTCCCCGACATCCCATATGGGTCCCCCAAGCCCCACCAGGTCTGTTCCCAGAGCACAGAACCAGGAGTAATCCCTGAGCACCACCAGAAAGCAAACAAAAAAGTAGCTCGTTTGAATGTTTGATCCTGACGTGCAGGAGCGGTAACTCTGCCTTCTGACAGACTCTCCCAGTGCTCACACACCAGGGCCAGGTCTCTTCCTCCGTGTGCAGAAACCCCAGAGAGAAGATACAGCAGGTCTTGATGGCTGTGCCCAGTGGGAATCTTCAGCCTCTGGATAGTGAACGTTTTCCATCCGACCACTCTGGGCTCCTCTGAGCCAGGCCCTGCCTCTGGAGATAGAGCAGGACTTGACTCCTACCCTCAAGGCTGTCATCATAGCACAGCGGGGAGGGCATTTGCGTTGCATGCAGCCGACCCAAGTTCTAGCACCCCATATGGTCCCCTGAGCACCGCCAGGAGTGATTCCTGAGTGCAGAGCCAGAAGTAAGCCCTGAGTATCGCCAGGTGTGACCAGAATAAATAAATAAATAACAACCCTGGAGAAACCTTTCCTGGTAGAGGTTGAGGAGACGGCTTGGAGGGCTGCAGCAAAGACCTGTCCTGTCCACACCTCCGAGTCTGATGCCCAAGCACCACCAGGGTTAGTCGCCCTGGTGACCTCTAGCACGGCCCGAGAGGTTTGCAGCGGACACGGTGGAGAGAGGAAGAGGGAGGTGGGGAAGCACAGGTCTGGGCCTCGGGCATGGAGGGGCCGCCCTGGGCAAGGGACCTGGTGACCGCATGTCTGTGCTGCAGGCTGTGCGCTTGGAGAGCGCCTGGGCAGAGCGTGTGCGGTACATGGTGGTGGTGGACAGCAGCGGGCGCCAGGACACGGAGGAGAGCATCCTGCTGGGCGTCGACTTCTCCAGCAAGGAGAGGTGAGTCCTGCTGCCGGGATGTGGCAGGGGCGGGGGTGCCTGACGAGAGAGCCCTACAGACAAGAAGACAGGACATTTCTATGCCTGTGGACCAGGCTCTTCTGGCCGTGCTCTAGTCTCTGTATTCGGCACAGAGGTCACCCAGAGGATGGGGAAGCTTCACACTAGTGTGGGTGGGGTACTGTGGGGGAGGTACGCAGCCTGGAGGGCTCCCTGAAAGAGGTGATAGTTCTGTCATTAAACATGTACCCCCAAGCACAGGCAGGAGCCAACCCCCATGAGGCAGGGAGCACTGGACAAGACTGTGCATAGAGTGAGTGCAGGTGATTAACAGGAGTCTCGCCAAGTCTCTTCCGGCAGCCTCATCCTGGCCTGCCCAGCCCTTGCCTGTGGGCCCTTGCTCAGGTTACAGAGGTCTGGGCTTTCCTGGTGATGGGAGGCCAGGCGTGTGTGTCCCAGACCCTGGTGCGTGTGGAATGAGGGCAGCCCACTGACTGCTGGTGGACCCATGAGACCATTGCACGCTCTATAATGTGGACCCCTGAACTTGTGTTCCATTCGTCCATGCTGTCATTGAGCAGACAGGCCCCATCTCGGGCAGCAGGCCCAGCCTGTCCATTCTGCACTGTCCTGTCCCTGTGTCGAGGCAGGAGGCCCAGCCCATCCACTCTGTACTGTCCTGTCCCTGTCGGGGCTGGAGGCCCATCCATCAGCAGTGCACGGTCCCCACCTCTGACCTAGAAGCATAGTGGGGAGAGCCGTGGCCCCCCCCGAACCACAGCCTGCAGGCACAGGGTGGCGGGTCTCCCCAACACGGCTGCACCCCTGCTTGTTCCCAGGGCCCGTGCAGGAGTCCCCGGGGAGTGAGAGGAAGACTCACCCTGCTCTGGGCTGGGCCAGAGGGAAGGAGTCTGGGTCAGGAAGGAACTGCAGCATGACCTAGCTGGGGACTGGAGGTCCAGAGAAGCCCCCGAGAACACCTGCTCTTGGCACAAGCAGAACCCCGTCCCTGGGTTCTTGCTGGTGTGGCTGTGAGCCAGAGGCAACCATGGTTGGCTCCCGCTGCCCTGCTCTGCCCACGCCACCTTGGGACCACTGTTACAGCACATCAGTTGCAAATGTTGAATTGGGTGGAGACCATGGTGGGCCCTGGGCAGCACTCTCCTCACCCCAGCACGGAGCCCTTCCCCCACTCCCCTACACACTCCCCCTGGGGTGGAGCCTCGACTGCAGGCCCCCAAGTTTGTTCCTTTCCAGCTCAGTGGAGAGCCCCCCATGCTCCTTCCCACCCATGGCCCGACCTCGCCTCCCTGCGGCCCTGGCTCCAGTTCCCGCAGGGTCCCCCCTCCTGGGTCCTCACGCTTCCACAGAGGCCCAGCCCCCACCCTGAGCCCGGGACCCTTAGCCACTCCTGCTGGTGTCCTGTGGTTGGCATCTTGGGCCTAGGGGCTCCAGAGCAAGGGCCACTGTGTTGGTTGGATGCAGCTGTGCCCTCCTCCCGCGTGTTTGGGGGGTGGGGGCTGTAGCCCCCCACTCGCACCCCCCATGCTACCTAGCACCAGACCAGCCCTGTCCTCTCCAGAAGCCTAGGGGGATAGCCAGTCTTTGGCTCTTGTTTCCTTGGTCTGGGAGTGAGCCTGGGGGCTGTCCCCAGTGGTGAGGGACTGTGGGCTCTATCTAGTGCCCTGAGTCTTCCCAGGATATCCCTGCACAGCTGCTCTGCGGACACGCACAGCTGTCTTCCCTATCCCCGTGTTCCAGAACCCTCCACATACCCTGGGGTGGCCTGGGGCCATGTGCTCCTCCTCCCCTGCCCACTGAGCTAGGCCCAGCTCCCTCCTCCTCGCCTCTGTCAGCCCCCAGGATGCCCTCACTGTGCAGGAAGAACAGCTGTTCCAGGCTCGCACCGTGTCCACGTGCCCCACGGGCTGCCCTCCCCAGGCTCTCCCTCTCCCTGTGAAGGGTGGGCTAGGGCATGCCCCTTGTTCCCATCAGATGGTGCCAGGCTTGACCCCTACCACCTGTCCCAGGTGCTGGAAAGGGGATGAGTCTTCCGCGCCCCCGCCTCCCCGCACTGCCACCCCATGCCCGCACATACCCGTGTCAGCCGCTTCTGTGCCTCTTCAGCTCTGGCCGAAGAGCTTGGGGAACTTCCATAAATACTAATTTGTGGTTCTCCCCAGGAGACAGAATTAGCCGTTCAAGAATGGGTAGGACTGCAGGGGGGCCGAGACTTTGCTGAGTACAGCCCTTGCACAGACAGGAACAGGAAGTGAGAGTCTGGGGACCTGAGCTCGGAGGAAGCTGCCCCTTGAACCGCAGGGCTCAGGTCTGGATGTTGAGGGGGGGATGTCCTCAGGACCCCCGGAGAGTGGCGGAGCCGGCCCCTGCCCAGGCACAGGGGGCTCCACAGGCAACTCTTCTGAAAATGCTCCCTCTGGGTGCCTCACCAGAATCCAGGGACTCTGCTAAACGGGTCCCTTGCCTGTTCCCAGCAGGTCCAGCCTGCAGGCACTAGGGATCAGGTTGGGATGGGCCAAACAAGCAGATGAAGGAGTTTTATGGACGGGGATGGCAGAGGGTTTGCAGTTCCTAGAGACTGAACCACATGCGCAGGGTAAATCCTCTGCCACGTGGCTATGCGGATCTATGCCCCAGGAGACTGGGTTTGGGTTTGGGGTTTTGGTTGTGTGCTTTTTTTGTTAGGGGTTGTTTTTGGCCATACCTGGTGCTGCTCCAAGCTACTCCCATCTTGGTGCTTGGGGGTTGCTCCTAGCAGAGCTTGGGAACTAGAGCTGAGGATCCCGCTGGAGGGGGTGGGGGTGCGGGGGGAGGGGGGTGCGGGGAGGAACTCTAACATGCAAAGCCTGCGCCCCGGTCCTTTGAGTCATCTCCCCGGCCAGCCCTCCCACTCAGCTGATTTTCAAATCTTTGTTAACTATCTGATTTTTATGTCTGTCGGCTCCAGACCTGACTCAGCAGTAGAGCTCACCCCAGGTGTGTGAGAACTTGGGTACCCATATCCAGCAACAAAACCATATGTATAAGTAGACATTTTTAATCCAAACACAGCAGCTGAGCAGAGGTGCAGAAACGGGCCCAGAAATGAGCTCTGCTTCTGGGACAGGCACTCCCCACCCCCCTCACCCGGGACTGGGGGCTGGGGTTGCCCACGGGGAGCTCCGTGGCCCTCGCTCCAGGTCCCTTCTCTCCCGTCCGCAGTAAGAGCTGCACCATCGGCATGGTTCTGCGGCTGTGGAGCGACACCAAGATCCACCTCGACGGCGACGGGTGAGCCATGCCACGGGGATGCGGGGCCTTGGGGAGCGTGGCACCCTGGGTGAAGTGGCCGCAGGAGCAGGGGGTGGGGGCAGGACTGGGTCTCCGGGCCCATCTGTGGCATGCCTGTGCAGCCAGAAGCCGGCTTTCTGCCATGGCAGTGGGATATATTCTGCCTGCGCTCCTGGCACTGCTCCGGAGAGGGAGGCCACTGGGCAGGGGCCCACCGTGCGTGCAGGTGCAGGAGAGGCCTGCAACCAACTGCCCACAGAGTTTCTAAGGCCACTTTGGGGCAGAGGAAGAGGCCTGGGCCTGTGGACCAGGGCTGGGAGATGGACAGAGGGGTAATGGGACAGGGCACTGAGGGTTTAAGACTGAGGGATGGACAGGGACTTAAGGAGAGGGGCTGAGAGATGGACAGTGGCCAAGGGATGGACAGGGCGGAGGGACGGGGCTGACAGATAGGTCTAAGACCCATTGAGCTCCTGTGTTCCTTGGGGGGTGGAGGGGAGACAGTGGGTATTTGGTGAGTGGAAGGAGCAGAATAGGATATTGTTCCTCCACTAGAATCACACGGGAAAAAGTCGGCTGCCTCTTGGATGGGTGTAGGGGCTGGGCGGCAGGTGGACTGTCCCTTAGACACTGCCTGTCTCACACGCTTTGCTGAGCTTCCAGGTACAGCTCGCATGGCTGAGCTGGAAACAGTCTTCTGGGGCCTGGGAATGGGGTTTTCCGCAGAGTGTACCCTTCCACATATGAGTCCCTGATTTCAGCTGGTACTGCACCCCACTGCACCCCTCCACCCCCACCCCCCCAAAAAAAACTCTTCCAGATCAGGCATGTCTCTTTTTTGGAGGCAGGATGGGATAGCGCTACTCACACCTTATTCCTGGCTCTGTGCTCAGGGATCACTCCTGACAGGGCTTAGTAGAACCATATGGGGTGCCGGGGTTCCAATCACACCAGGTCAGCTGTGTGCAAGGCAGGCGCCCTGACTCCTGTCCTGTCTCTCCAGCCCTGTGGAGCCCGTCATGACTTTGCTTCTGCCCTTGTCTCAGACGATTGTCCCGGGGTCCCCCAGGGGCCTGCTCCTGGCATCTCCCGGGGACCTGGGGAGCAAGCTGGCCTCACCCAGAGGGTCGTCTGTCTCTGCTTTTCTCCCCAGTGGCTTCAGCGTCAGCACGGCAGGAAGGATGCATGTCTTCAAGCCCGTCTCAGTGCAGGCCATGTGGTAAGTGTGACTTAGGGACTGTCAGCTTGGGCATTTCCCCAGTGGACAGACCATGACTCGAAGCCCCCACTCCCGCCCCACCCCCGCACCAGCCTTGACACTCACTCAGATTCTTCCCATGTGTGGTGAATAACAGAGGGTAGAAAGTGGACCGTTTCTAGAGCTGTGCCAGGTATATTGGCACCTAATCCATTAGTGGAATCTTCTAGAGCCAAGCCCACGCTCTCCCCTTGCAGAAGATCTTCACACCCAGAATGGGTCACCCCACTTGCTGCTGCACCCATTTCCACTGGTGGACATGCCCCTTTGATGGGCACGCAGGTGGGCATCTCCTTTGGGGCTGGTACAGAATTGAGTTGCTGTGAGCTTTGGGGTCCAGCCTCTCTGTTTGAGTCCCGCCTGCCTTTCTTTGGGGTGTTTGCCTCAAAGTAGGATTCTGTGATCCTACGGGATTTCTAGATCTTTCTCCCTTGAGAACCACCTGGGGAACCACCCCACCGACTTCTGTCGGGAAGCTGAGTCCTCTTCTGGGTCCCAAGCTGTGGTGTTGTTTTTCCTCACAGCGGTCCTTTGACGAGTGCTAAGAAGTGGTGTCTGTCATAGTTCTGATTTGTGCCAGTGCAGCAGTGGCGTCCCAGGGCCCCCTTCCGGCCCTGTGGGTCTCGCGTGCCTTCTCTGGAGAGCAGTGCACTGTGCTGGGGCCCGAGCCCTAGGAGAGACGGGACACATCTGTGCCCTCACTGGGAGGAAGAAGGGGCTCGTGAGGTGCGGGGCTGCAGGAGAGGGCTGGATGTGAGCCATCCGGAGCTGCTCCAAGTCTGGCAGCCATGTGTTGTGTGTCAAAAGCCTATACAGACCTCCCTGACCCAGCGGGCAGCACCAGCAGTCGGGAGCAATCTGGGAGGGCTTCTGGGTGGCTCCTCCCACCCCGAGTTTCAAGACCTGACTCTTGGGATCCCTGACCCCAGCTCTTTGGGACAGGCAGTCCCGCCAACAGTGGGGCCCCAAGTTCACGCTGCGCTGGGTCTTCGCCTCCGTTGTGCCTTGCACTGCCCTCAGCTCAGGGTCATTTAGGAGGAAATGGCGGAATCATAACTCTCTGGATGCTTCGGATTTTTCTGAGTGTCCCTGGGTCATCTGTCCTCCCTCCATCCCTCCCGCGCTCTCTGTCCCCCACCCCCCTGCATGCAAGGACTGTTTTCCTTAGGAAATGCAAGCTTCTCCCTAGAAAGGTCCTGGAACACTGAAGGGGACTGGGGGAATGTGAGGGGCCGCAGTCTGCAGTCTGCCGTGCTGTGCTCTCGAGACTTGCCTTCCAGCAGGGCTTTATGTCCTGGCCGCGTCCAGGGGCGCCCCGACCTCAGAAGGAAATCTTTCCTCCTGGGGGGCTCACTCACAGGCCATGGAATGACTGGGGTCCAGGGGAGACTTCAGCGGTTGTTCTGTTTCCGTGGGCGGAACTGGGGATCATTCTGTCCTTCCGGAGACACCGACTGCGCTGGTGCCCGAGCCCCAGGAGAGACGGAATACATTAGTGCCTGGGGATTGTAACTGGGGATCATTCTGTCCTTTCGGAGTCACCTGCCGGTGCTTTGGAGCCGGGTTCCTGGAGCTTCCTGCTGACCCTGCCCACCCCCCTCGCCCAGGTCAGCGCTGCAGGTCCTGCACAAGGCCTGCGAAGTGGCTCGGAGACACAACTACTTCCCCGGAGGCGTGGCGCTCCTCTGGGCCACCTACTACGAGAGCTGCATCGGCTCCGACCAGAGCTGCATCAATGAGTGGAACGCCATGCAGGACCTGGAGTCCACGCGGCCCGACTCTCCAGCCCTGTTTGTGGACAAGTAAGCAAGGCCAGCAGCGCCCTGGCTGCCACAGCTCGAGGGGGGCCCTCCCCCTCTCCGGCACCCCGCCCTCATCTCCCTTGTAAAATCATGCACAGATTCAGCCAGGAGCGCCTTCCTGGGGGAGCAGGTCCCTGACTTCTACCCGAGTCTCAGAGTCGCGGGCGGTCCGCAGGCCACCTCTCTGGCTGTGCTCAGTGCTCAGGCGGGCCATCCCCTGCCAGTGCAGAGACGTCACCAGTGCGGCTGCTTCTCCGGACACAGACAGAGGCAGCAGGGAGGGTCACAGGCTGGAGGTCACACTTGGTTCCAGTCTCTCTCCTCGGAAGGAAGGAGCTCCCCCTCCTCTCGGTTAGGACCCTCATTAGGACCCTGGGTCACAGCATCTTAAGGGGGCCAAGGGCAGAGGGGGCAGCTAGAGTGAGGAGAGGGCCAGAAGCCATGGAGTGGTCATGAGGGCTGATGGGGAAGCGAGTGGCCTGGGGGGATCAGACAGGGAGAGTTGCCCTGGAGGGAAGCCATGGGAAGCCCACAGTTGCTGAGTCCAGGTCAGGAAGGTCCCGGCAGGAGGTCACAGGTCACAGTGCCATCCAGGGCGGAGACCCAGGCAGGCTGCAGGGGCCTATAGCTGCCACTGGGAAACTTACTCCAAAGGCGTGAGCCGGCGACATGCCCCAGCGCATCTGCCTACTGCACCTGTCACTCTCCCCTGCCCGTCACACCTGTCCTCTGAACTGGCTTCCCGCACCATAAGCGTCTGAGATCTGGCAGACTTTGACCCTCCGGCCTCCAGTCTTCCTTTCTTCCCTAAAACTCCTTCATTCCCAGGCCAACCGAAGGGGAAAGGACTGAGCACCTCATCAGAGCCAAACTACGAAGCATCATGATGAGCCAGGACCTCGAGAACGTCACTTCCAAAGAGGTGAGCAAGTGCTTCCCTGTCGGCGGCCTTCACGTGGCACGTGGCCTCAGACCTGGGAGTCCAACCGCAGGACCCTTCTTGACCAGCTCTGAGGCCCTTCCTGAGAACCCCGGGGATCCTGCAGATTGTTCTAAGCCCCCTCTGGCCTAAGGCACCTTCAGTTCATTCGCTTGGCGATGTCGCAAACCTGATTTCTTCCACATTCCAGTGGGGTGACCCTGAACCATCTTCCATCTGCCCTGGGGTGGTGATGATTGTTACTTGTGTATTTTTTGATGGGTTGGAAGGGGGGAGGGAGGAGATTCCAGCAGCACTCAGAGCTTATGCCTGATTCTGGGCTCAGGGATCATTCCTAACTGCTTGGGGGACCAATTACAGTGCTGGGGATTAAATCTGGATTGGTGACAGACAAGGCAAGTGCCTTATCCACTGTACTATTCTCTAAAAAATTAAGACTAGAGCCGGGTAGGAAGAGAGGTCAGACATCCAGGGCACCTATTTCATATGTTCAGGCTCCCAAGTTTTGATCCCCAGCGCTGAGGGGGCCCAAGCATCCTCGTATTACTGGCCATCCCAGCACTGGGTTCTCTCCAGGCGGGCAAGCATCACTAGGTGGCCCTCAGGATCCCTGAGCATTGCTTAGGATGCCCGGAATTTTGGAGGAGGGAATTCATAGGATGGTACCTTTCAAAAGCAAGATAAGAAACTAATTGTAGGTGCTGAGACACAGTACAGCAGGTAAGGCGTTTGCCTTGCACATAGCTCACCCAGGCTTGATTCCCCGCCATCCCATAGGGTCCCCTGAGTACCGCCAGGAGTGAGTTCTAAGTGCAGAGCCAGAAGTAACCCCTGAGCATTGCCAGGTGTAGCCCAAAAACCAAACAAATAAATAAATAAACAAAAACAGTTGTAGTGAAGGTTTTGGGCGGGATGTACTCAGTAGCATGTTGTGAAATTGTGTTTGTGCTCTCAACTCGGTGGGGATGGTCCCATGGGAATCAGTTGCTTTTCTGGAAACACTAAATTTCCCACAGTCACACCTAAGGCCACGGCCTCCGGCCACACCCGTGTTCTCCCCGAGAAAACTTCTGGGAAGTGGTTTGTCCTGTGGCTGCACTCCTTGGGAAGTAAGCCAGCTGCTCTGGTCTGACCCCTTCCCCTGACGTCCCCTGCCCTGCAGATCCGGAATGAGCTGGAGAAACAGATGAACTGCAACCTGAAGGAGTTCAAGGAATTCATCGACAACGAGATGCTCCTCATCCTGGGCCAGATGGACAAGCCTTCCCTCATCTTTGACCACCTTTATCTCGTAAGCGCAGCCACAGGCTCAGGTTGTGGGGTGGGTGGTGGGGAGGGGGGAGACAGGGGAGTGGCAGGCCCCAGGCCAGCCACAAGCAGGTCGCAGAAGGGAAGCACTCGGATGGCAGGGGACTTGACCCTGACTCCTTACAGACACCCCCATCCCCTCCCGCACCCTTCTCATCGTGGCCCTCTGGTGCTCGCAGGCAAGGCCGCATGCTCTGGCTGTTTGAAAGCTCTTGCCCTTGGTCGGCAGGTGCTCCTTTCCAGATGCTCCCCTGCCTCTCCCGCTGCCATCACTTCACACAGTTGCCACCAAGTGGCTTGGGAGGCGGGGGTGCTCAAATCCCACATACCCAAGGGAGCCTGTGCTCCCGGCCCCGGGACTGAGTCTGAGGCCCAGGAAGAGGAGTATTTGGTAATACATCTGATAATACCAAATGTATTATCTGGCTGAGACCCAGAGGAGAGCTGAAGGGCAGCTCTCCCTGGGTTGCCGTGGGGGCTCTGTAGAGCTCCTTTCCCTCCATCTCCCTCGGATTCTTTTCTTTTTCTTTCTTTTTTTTGGGGGGGGTGTTTTCTTGGGTGGGAGGTGAGAGCTCAGGACTTATTCCTGGCCTTGCATCCAGACAACGCAGATTCACGCCTCAGCACCCCATACAATTCCCTGAGTCCCTTCAGGAGTGATCCCTGAGCACAGAGCCAGGAGTCAGTCCTAAACACAGCAGGATATGGCAAAAAAAGAAATCATAAAATGCATATTGAGGACGAGAGGAATGGTACAAGCGTTAAGGCACTTGCCTTGCGTACACCAGACACTCGGCCCCACTTTGACCCCCAGCACTGCTTATGGTCCCCCGGGCCCCAGGAGTGATCCCTGACCACGTCTGGAGTCACCCATGCCCCACTCCTCTCCCCCCAAATCTCTGCTTGCTGTGTTTTCCTTTATCAGCCTCCCCCGTGTTGAGAGGAAGCCTGTCCTGAACCCTCGGGGAGCCCTGAGTGCCAGGTTTCACCCCGATTTTGTCCCTGGCAGGCCCTCCACTAGGGGGTGGTAACAGCCTTCTCAGAGCTCACATTGTTTTTGTCAGTGTGGTTTGGTGCTTGAGGTCACTTTTTCCATGAGAGATACTAAAGGAATTTTTATGATTGAGCCTCTCCTGAGTGTGAAGACCCACACATTGCTAGCCTCCCTCAATCCCTGCGGGGGGTCCCCCAGCCCCCCTGCACCTGAGGACCCTGGTGCCCTCCAAGGAGGAAGGAGCTTCCTGGGACACTGAGCAGCTCTTTGTGACAATACTGTGTCATTTGCGCTTCCCAGGGCAGAGCCACGGTTACGACTGTGGCTTTGCACGTCTGGTTCCTTCCCATCCTCTTTGCTTGCTCAGAAATGGTTTGTTTTTCTCTAATAGTGTGGTTTTTTTTTTTGTTTTTTGTTTTTAAATATCCAATTAAGAGTTGTCACAGGAAGTTTGGAGGTAACATTAGTCTAAAGAAGAAAATAGGAGATTCTACTTTCACAGATCCAGACATCATGGTTATGTCACCACTGTTACATTTTGGTATATTCCTTTGTCCTTTTTATTTATTTTCTTTTTCTTTTAGGGCTGGAGCGATAGCACAGCGGGTAGGGCGTTCGCCTTACACGCGGCCAACATGGCCGACCCGAGTTCGATTCCTCCGCCCCTCTCGGAGAGCCCGGCAAGCTACCGAGAGTATTCGATATGCCAGACACAGTAACAACAAAGTCTCCAATGGAGACGTTACTGGGCCCGCTCGAGCAAATCGACGATCAACGGAGGGCCTTTACCTTTACCTTTACCTCTTTTTCTTTTGAAGGGAAGGGGGCTTGTGGAGCATACTTGGCTGTGCTCAGGGCTTATTCCCGGCTCTGTGCTCAGACATGCCTCCTGGCAGTACCAGGGGGACCAAATGTATTATCGGGGACCGAACCCAGATCAGCTATGTCTGTACCCCCATGCCCTCTCTCCAACTCCTTCCCCTTCTTTCTTTCAACATACAGCTTCCCAACAAATAAGTGAAAAGAAATAAACATGCAGTATATCTCTGGGGACAGACTTCTGACAGTGTTCAGGAAAGCATGTGGGGTGCTGAGGATCAAACCTACATTGGCCACATGCAAGGCAAGCACCCTCCCCATGAGACTCCCATCCTGCGTGCAGTGTGTTTGTACAGTTCATATTTTCCTTCAAATGTTATGTATTTTCATTAAATGCCCTCAAAAAGTTTGATCTTAATGGTTTCATCATTTGGATCCATCTCTTGGTTTTGGAACCAACCACATCGGGCAGTGCTGGGTGGGTGGAGGGAAGGGGACCATTCGGTGCCAGAACCAAGCTTTCCATATGCAAAATATGGCCAGGGCAGAAACCAGAGTAGAGCGTGAGGATATTGCCAGAATATCTCCCAGAAACAAAAGGTCATTGATGTCCCCTGTGAGGAGTATGAGCCTGAAAGCATCTTCCTGTTGGGCAGCTCGGAGCTCGCTGCCGCTCGGGCCAGGAGCTCACTTGAGCGGAACCCGAGCAGGGAAGAGTTTGCAGGGGGAGCCTAGTCAGTCTCCCAAGGTCAGCCTGGGCCTGGCCCCTTCTTTGACGCTGGGTTGCAGTTTCTGTTCTCTGAGGTCGAGGGCCCTGGACTCAGGCGGCCCGCTCAGGGCAGGGTTCCTGGGGGATCCCACAGCAGCAGAGGCTGAGATGTGACACTCACAGAGGTCTGTGTGATCTGTCCCCTAGGGCTCTGAATGGAATGCGTCCAATCTGGAGGAACTGCAGGGCTCAGGGTGAGTCTGCTCCCCGTGTCTTCCCCTGTCTTCCAGGCAGCCTTAGGAACCCCATCCTACCCCCGAGCCACCCAGCTGAGGGACATAGCCAAACCCGGACAGCGTTGCACATCCGCTGAGTGACTCCCAGGTCTGAGCATCCTTCTGGGTTTCCTGTGACCCCAGGTGTCAGGGAGAATGATTCTGAGTCACACTCCAGCGGTACAGGTCATGGTCCCCTCCCGTTGCCCCCGCTGCCCGGCTGAGCTGCCAAGAGTGTCCACGTGGACACGTGCCAACTGGGTGGGCCCCAGCCGCACTCCCCAGAGCACTGCTGGTTCTGGCGGCGGGCCTGCAGGGAGTTTGCCGCTCAGTCCTCCAGGCTGGCCAGAAACACCTGACCACCTCGCTTAGCCTGAGAAAGGTTTAGTGGCGGGAACTGGGCTGGCAGATGTTTAGATCTAGACCTTCCAGAACAGATGTCTGGACATTTTTGCTTTTAAATAACACAGCCACAAAAATCGCTGTTCAGTGGGTCTGACCTAGAGACATTCTTGAATTACTGCGTTTGAAACTCAAGACTAAACAAGTCTTAAAATATATCTTTGGAACCACTGGTTAAGGTGCGTTCTCGCAATGAAAAAATACTCTTAAAGTATAAGGTGATAACTGTCTCATGCTTTCTCTCTTGTTGGGAATAATTTTTTCAAGTAGTTTTGAAAAGCACTTATAAAGTAATTCTCTTCTGAACTCTACTGGAGATGTTTTCTTACCCCTAATGTTTTGGTCCTCCAGGAATATATTAAGTTTAGAAAACTTCAGAGCTTGGGATAGTTGGCCCTCTCAGTATTTATTTATAGCCTGCATTGCTTCAACGAGGGTTTAAGGAAATTCCCAAGGATATAAATAGTGAACAGTTAGATTCTGTTTTGTTATTATATAGGCGTAGATTTTAAGCCTCTACATATTGCAGTTACGAATTTTGAAACTTTAAGAGATTTTGAAAATTCACTTAAGTGATGTGTATATCTACTCTCCAGGGTTGATATTATAGAACAGTGCTGAGTTTTCAAGTTTTTCCTATTTAAAGGTATACACATACGTATACACATATAACACTGTCATTGTGTAGAGGACTTTTAGGAAAATACCTCAAAAAATTCTGTTTGAGAAAAATGGAAAGTCCCACCGTAAACATCTGTCCTTTATTAATGTGTATTTTCAGGTTTTTTCTCTATGCAGTTTTTAGTTACTTTGTTTCAGATATTTTCTCCTTCAGATTCTTCAGATTTGTTCTTTTCTTTTTTCTTTTTTTAATCTCATTGCAGTGTTGATTACATTTTAAATGTCACTAGAGAGATTGATAATTTTTTCCCGGGCCTGTTCGCCTACCATAACATCCGCGTGTATGATGAAGAAACAACAGACCTTCTTGCCCACTGGAACGAGGCATACCACTTCATCAACAAAGCCAAGTAAGCGTGAGCAGGGGCGGGGTAGGGGGAGCAGTGTGGAGGGACAGAGGTCCCTGGGGACCGTGGTGGCCCGGCTTAGACCCAGAACCACAAGGGCAGAGCTGTTGCTCTCCTGGGTGGGGAGCCCGAGTGAGCTCTTTGAGTGCGACTGTCTGACCCCAGCTTCGTGCTCCGCACTCATTCCAGACCAAGGTCGGACCCCAAGAGGCTGTTGGGGCTCCCGGCCTGTAGAGAGGTGCTGAGCCAAGGGGCGGTCATCGGTGGCGGCCTCCCCATGGGCATCTGCCCTCTTCACCCACAAGAGCCGCTTTCCTGCCGGAGTGCGGTGGGGCTGGTCGCTGGCTCCCACACACTCATCCTCATCCTGCTTTCTCTTTCTAACGTTCGCACAAGGGGGCGGGGGTGCAGAGAAGGGGGCCAGTCTTCCGTTTCGTTTCAGTTTGGGAGGTGGGGGTGGTTCGCACGCAGCGATGCTAAGGGGTCACTCCTGGCAGTGCTCGGGGAACCCTGTGGGAGGCTGGGGATCGAACCCAGGTTGGTCACCTGCGAGGCAAACACCTTTCTATCTGTACTGTCACTCCGGCCCAGAAAGGGTCCAGCTTTCAGCGTGGGCGAGGGGTGGGAAGTGAGCCTGCTCCTGGCTGCTTCGGGCGTGACTGTGCGCTGCAAGCCGCTGCCTGGGCTGATACGGGCAGGAACGGCCTCCAGGTGCCGCCCCTTCGTGCCCTCCCTCCTCTTCCCCAGAGGGCCAATGTGCCCTTCCAGGGGCTCTGCCCAGCCTTGCTCTCCCTGCCCCACACCCGCTGGGCCTCTGGGCCAGGTGCAGCTCCTCCGCCCTGCTGTCGCTGGGGTCTCCTTTCCTGGGCGCCTCGGCACTAGAGGTTGGGTGACCCTGTTTCTTTCCCTCCGGGAGCCCCGTGGCCAGCTCTGCTGCGGGAGAGGCCCCGTGGCCTCCACAACCGCCCTTTGTGCTGTGTGGGTGCTTCCTGCATGGGGGTCTTATTCTCCTCGCCTGCCCTGGCATCGTTTGTGCCCATGGACAGCTCCAGGGTCACCAACCGATGTTGCCGAGGAGTTTTCCTGGAGCGAGGGCAGGGCTGTACAACGACCCGCCTCACTAGCCAAGAGCCCGAGGGTGAGGCTCTTCAGGCAGGTTGCACCGTTGTTGTTTACTCTTGTTGTTTGGGGGCGGGCTCTGGGGACCATGTGGGCTGCTGAGGGTCGAACCCGGGTCTGTGGCAGGCAAGACAGACACCTGCCCGCTGTGCTGTCTCCCCGCCCCACAGGAGGAACCATTCCAAGTGCCTGGTCCATTGCAAGATGGGGGTGAGCCGCTCGGCCTCCACGGTCATCGCCTACGCCATGAAGGAGTTCGGCTGGCCTCTGGAGAAGGCGTACAGCTACGTGAAGCAGAAGCGCAGCATCACGCGGCCCAACGCCGGCTTCATGAGGCAGCTGTCGGAGTATGAGGGCATCTTGGATGCCAGGTGGGCGCTGCCGGACAGGAGGGCGGGCTGGACGGGGGCCTGGGAGCGGCCTCCAAGGCGCGGTCTCTCTCCTCTCTTCTGTCTGTCTCTGTCTGTCTCTGTCTCTGTCTGTCTCTGTCTCTCTCTCTCTCTCATGTCTCCCCCCTCTCTCCTCACTCTCCTTTCTCCCTCTCTCCTCTCTCCTCTCTCTCTCTCTCTCTCTCTCTCTCTCTCTCTCTCTCTCTCTCTCTCCTCTCCTTTCTGTTTCTCCCACCCCGCCTCCCTCCCCACCTCAGGAGCTGTGTTGATTTTGTTGGCGCACACACATAAAGCTAGTGTGCCCCTGTGGGGCCAGAGACATAGCACAGTGGGTGGGTACTTGCCTCGGACGCAGCTGACCCAGGCTCCATCCCCGGTTTCCCATATGGTCCTCCCGAGCCCCGCTGGGAATGGCCCCTGAGCACTGCTGGGTGTGGCTCACAAACAAAAATGAAAAAGCCCTTACACTCCCAGAGGGCGAGGTGCCAGACTTCTAATCCCAGGTGGGGCCTGAACACACGAATGTCTGTCTCCTGGGCTTTGTGTGGTGCTGAGCCCCGTCCCAGGGCCCGCTGCGGATGCAGAGGGAGACCCAGAAGCTGGGCACCCTGCGAGCCTCCGCCTTCACGTGCACTCCCACCTGACAACATCACCGAGAGAGGGACAGGCACGTCCTGGCAGCTCAGCCCTGCGGGTGCTTGGCGGGAAGTGGCACATCGCGACTTTTTGTTCACTTACCGTGGTGTGGGTAGGGGGTGTGGTTTGGCCACCCCCCGAGGTCCCCAGGCACCCTTCCCAGCTGGAGCTCAGGGGCCACTCCTGGCAGTGCTTGGTGATAGGGATCGAATCACCATCAGCCCCAAGCAAGGCAAGTGCCTTACCCCCTGTATTCTCTCTCCAGCCCTGGCAGCTGCTTGGTGAATTTCAGTGGGGCCCCCAAGCAGGGCCTGGGTCATGCTTTGCTGGGGACTGAACTTGGGGCCTCACGCATTCCCCGCATGCGCTTCTGTCCTGTGAACGATCTCCCTGGCTTCTCTAGCTGCTGTTTAAATCGAAAGGCCGAGCTGTGCTCTCTCTGACCTAAGTGAGACTTAGGTTTGCTGAGACTGTTCCAGCATGGCGCAGGGCTCTGCCTGTCTCCTGGCCGCACGGGGGTACACTTTGTGCAGCCGTGGGGAGGGTCTGCGTGGAGGACATGCGGCTCCGGGGCCGGGTTCACGGCTGAGGCAGACTCCGACATCCCGCGGGCTCCCCCCGCTGCCCCCCGCCCCCGTCTGCACTTGCTTTCCCGTAGCTACCACATCATCACTTCACGTGGCAGGAAGTCCTTGAAGGCTTCTCCCGGGTGCCGGCGGCCCATGTCCTCACACCGTCTCAGGGCAGTGAATAGAGGGAGGCCCGATGGCCCCCACCCCAACCCTAGTCCTGGGACTGTGCCTTGCAGGCTCACTCTGCCCCAGTGCCCAGTGACCCTCCTCTGCCTTCCTCCCCCAGCAAGCAACGGCACAACAAGCTGTGGCGCCCACAGCCCGAGCACTGTCCCCAGCTGCCCGGGGACGGCCCCGCGGGGCCTGGACACGCAGGCCCCGGCACCCTGGACAGCGCCCTGGAACCACCGCGGCTGCTCTGCTTGGACACTGCCCCCCAGCCCGGGCTCCCCGGAGCGGCCAGTCACCCCTGCTGTTTCCGACGGCTCTCGGACCCCCTCCCGCGCTCCCCAGGCGAGGAGCAAGGCAGCGCCGTCCCGCTGGCCCGTCTGGAGAGGGACACGGCATGGGAGGACGCGGCCGAGGTGCCTCGGCCGGCCAGACATCCCCAGCAGGGGCCCAGCTCCTCTGACCGGGACGTGAAGAGGAGACTCGAGTTCGGGAGCCCCAAAGCCCAGAGAGGCTCCTTACCCCTGGCGGAGGAGATGGAGCGGGAGGAGGCCCCGGGAGCCGGGAAGTGGCGCTGGGCCCCCGCTCCACCCGACCCCAGCTTGCTCGACCGGGAGAACCTCAATAACAACAACAGCAAGAGGAGCTGCCCGGAGGACTTCGAGGTAGATGTCTGGGGATGGCGGGGTGGGGGGCAGCACACCCCACTCTGCTGCCGTGTCTCTCTGCCCCCTCGCGTAGCCCCACCTGCTGCGACCAGTGGGTTTATTTCCAAGTGCCGTCTTGTGGGGTACAGGGGACTGTCAGGACACTGGGACTGGGGTCACCCCAACACACGCGCACGCACACACCCACGTGCACACACGCGCACACACACACACACACACACACACCACGTGCACCATGTTCCTATTCCAGGAAGGCGTGCCAGCCTCCCTCCTCACCTAACACTCAGGACAGCCCCACTGGAGAAAGAACACAGCAGGGAGGGCACCGGCCTCCCATGTGACTGACTTGGGTTCCATCCCTGGTACCCCCTCTGGTCCCCTGAGTCTGCCAGGAGTGATCCCTGAGTGCAGAAACAGGAGGAAGTCCTGAGCATCCCTGGATATTGCCTAAGAACCCAAAAGAAATATTTTTTAAAACAACCCCCCCATGCCCCTCACCCTGCTTGTGCACCCCCGCAGCCAGCCAGCCCACCTCCCTGGCCCTGCGCTTTCCCTCACACCCGGGGTTGTCTTGGAACAAAGCCCAGATCCGTGGTCGTCTTCTCACATGCCTTGGGAGGTGACAGGGCTGTTTGTGGTTTGGCGGCCATTCCTCAGGGTTATCGGGTATCCCGATGTGACCCCAGAGTGAAGCCTGAACCCCAGGGGCCTGAGCACTACCCCGTTCACAACAGGCTGTTGCCGGCCCCGGACCTGCTCAGAAAATCGTCCCTCTCCAGCCCCGACCTTTTCCTTCTCCTGGAGGCTGGTTTCCGGGGGGCTCTGGTGATTGGCCCCAGCTCTGCTGCTGCCACACAGACCCCCAACAGGGAGCTTCCTGCCGCGCGCCCTATGCGCGTACCCCAACTCTCAGAGCTGTCACTCCATCTGAGGTGTGCAGCAGTGAGGAGGGGGGCGCAGGGGGGCATAGGAGCCGGGACGAGGAGCTGGCACAGAGATGCCCTGAGCCCCTGGGTCGGCGCCCCTCCTCCCTCAGTGCCCACAGCTGCCTGCACGTCCTAAGGAAGCCTTTCCTCGGGGGGGATGAGGGCACCCCCCCCCGACCCGGCACTTCTCACACCCATCCCTCCAGTGGGCGAGGGGCACTCCCCAAACAGGAGCATTGATGCAGCGGTCTTGGGCCTGCCACCAGCCGTGGCCTATGCACGCCTCCTGTCATGCCACATGCACCGTCAGGATGTGGGAGCCAGCAGCTCGGCGTGAGGAACGCTGAGTGCCTCAGAACGTTCTGGGCCCTGAGCTCGAGCCATACCACCAGGTGCCAGCCCCAGGGATCCAGATTTGTGGGAGATCGTGTGTGTGTATGTGTGTGTGTGTGTGTGTGTGTGTGTCGCTGTTCACACCATTCCCACACCCTGTGCACACATGTATACACACATGCATGACCACGGGCCCCTGACCCTTCAGGAAATCCTGCACTGGCCACTGGCTGCTTTCCTCGGGACTTCAGTCAGCCACACAGGAGGGGATTAATCTCTGACGGGGTGGGGGGCTGGGGACACACCCCTCGCTGGGCGGGAGGAGCTCAGAGCATCAGCCCTTTGCCCCAAACATTTTCTAAATCTAGGCAAGGATTCTCGCGGCCAGACACCTCTGAACCGGAAGGTGACGGCCCTGAATTCCCTCGCTGCTGCTCTGGGCTGGTCTCTGCCCTCCGTCATCCTGGTGCCTGCTGGAGGTGGTCCAGAGGGGCCTGGAGAGAGGCGCAGGGCGTTGGCTTAGACCTTGAGTGACCAGAAGCTATAGTCATTTTCCTCAGAGAAGACTGGAAACATGTTCGTTTTTCTGGGGGGGTTGAGGGAGGGGTTGGAGGTGGCAGGGAGGGAATTGCTTTTAGGGCCACCCCTGGCAATGTTCAGGGCTTACTCCCAGCTCTGTGCTCAGGGAACACTCCTGGTGGGGATTGGGAAACTATTTGGGGTGCTGGGGATCAAACCCAAGTTGACCACATGGAAGGCCAGCCCCCTCCCCGCTGTCCTGTCGTGCCGGCTTCTTGTTTTCTGTTAAACTCCCTCCAGCCCGGCCCCTTCGCGGTGTGCACCCCTCTGGGTCTGTGACTCTGTGCTATACCGTCACCCCGTTGCTACCTCGCTTGTCCTGGCCGCCACTGGATGGCTCTTTGGGGCCATGTCAGCTTGTGCCAGGTGGGAAGCAGCGGGTGGGGTCCGGTCTGCCTTCGAGCCACAAGCGCTGTCTTTGTGGAAAGGGGCAGTATCGTGGCCACTTCCCGAAAGGCAGAGTGGCCTCGCACGCTTGCAGCACTTCTCTCTTTTCTCCTGTCACATTTGGGGCAGAGCTCAGGGGAGGGCCATGCGGGGCGGCTGGCAGAGGGGCAGAGGTGGGGGAACGGCAGGGGCCCCCTCCTGCCCGCTCTGGCCCTGCGGCTGAGTCTCTCCAGCCTTCCATCTCCTGTGGTGGGGGCGGGCCGGGGCGGGGGCTCCTCTCTGGAGTCCTCCCCGGTGGCGGCCGCTGGGGCTCATTCCTGCGTGCTCTCTGTGTTCTTGTCCCTTTCAGCACGACGCTATTTTCGGGATCCTTCACAAAGTGAAGCCTTCCTACAAGTCCTGCGCAGAATGCATGTACCCAGCCGCCAGCAGAGCCCCTGAGGCCTCGGGGGAGCAGGGCCAGAACCCTGGGGCCCCCGCCATCTGCACGCAGCCCACCTTCCTGCCCCACCTCACATCGTCACCCATGGCTCCCGCGGCCAGCAGGTCCCCACCGCTGGGCTCCCCCGAAATGCCCCCGCTGCTCCCTGCGGACTCATGGAGACCGGGTGTGGGCGGGGCCGGGGGCACCCTGGAGCTCCCGGTCACTGCTGGCCTTTCGGAACCTTCCAGAGACTCCCAGAAAGTCTTGCCCAAGTGTACCCTTACCAAGAGCCCTCCCGGTCTGGAAGCGGCGAAGGAGGATGCGTCTCCCAGGAGGGACCCGAAGCCGGCCAAGGACCTGCGGCTGCTGTTCCGGAAGGAGGCGGAGAAGCCGAGCGCCAGCAGCTACCTGATGCAGCACCAGGAGTCCATCATCCAGCTGCAGAAGGCCGGCTTGGTCCGCAAGCACACCAAAGAGCTGGAGAGGCTGCAGGGCGTCCCCGCGGAGCCCGGCGCCCGCAGGGACAGCAGGCTGGGCGCCAGCATCCCCGAGGAGGACGCGGCGGCGGAGGACCTGGCTCCGCCCGACATTGACGAGGGCGAGGCGGTGGGGCCTGGCCCGGCCCTCACCGAGGGCACCTCCCTGAAGAGCCCCCCTCTGCAGCTCTGCCGCCTGGACCACAGCAGCCACTTCTCCCGAGACTTCCTGAAGACCGTCTGCTACACGCCCACCTCGTCCTCGCTGAGCTCCAACCTGACGCGGAGCTCCAGCAGCGACAGCCTGCACAGCGTGCGCGGCCGGCCCGGGCTGGTGAAGCAGCGCGCGCAGGAGATCGAGACGCGCCTGCGGCTGGCCGGCCTCACCGTCTCCTCCCCGCTCAAGCGCTCGCACTCCCTCGCCAAGCTCGGGAGCCTCAACTTCTCCACCGAGGACCTGTCCAGCGAGGCCGACGCGTCCACCCTGGCCGACTCCCAGGATGCCACGCTCGTCCGCTGCCCCTTCCCCCACGGGCCCCTGGCCACCCCCGCCACGACACCGGCGGGGAAAGTCGACAGGTCCAGAAACTTGCACAGTCCCCCCTCACAGGCGAGCGAAAGCTGACCCGCAGCCCCCCACGTCCATCCCACCCGGGGTCCCTGTGGACCCTCACATCAGGATGCCTCTCACCCCCGCACCTCGGGGCTGCTCTCCTGACAGCCTGCTTCTTGCCAGAGAGAAGAGGAGGAGGAGCAGGAGCGAGACTCCGCAGCTCGAGCCGGAGACCACATAGAGACCACGCGGCCGTGCCACTTCCACACCCGCCATGTGAGTTGTCGAGAAGAGTGCTCACCGGTGGGCACAGGGGCCAGAAGCGCCCCTCACTCTGGGCAAGAAAGCAGTGGCACCGTGTCCTCTGCTCGGGGGCGCAAGTACAGTGCAGCCCACGTGCGCGCACACGCACGCGCGCGCGCACACACACACACACACACACACACACAGACGTGCGCGCTCTCCCAGACAATAGAAGTCCTACCTCTGCTCTTGCCATGTGTTTTTTTTCTTCACGAACAGTAATGACCAAGGCGCATTCCAGGGAATAATGCTGTCAGAAAAGGCTTTTCCAAAAACAATTTGGGGGGGTCAGACCCCCAAAAAGTGTTAAGACTTTAAGCTGCCCGACCACTGGAGTCCTGTGTGGAAGTGTGACACTGGGCGCCACCGGCTCTGTGCTGCTCGAGGCCAGTGCTGTGAGAGTCTTTGCCCATCCATCTGTTCACTTGCCCACTCGTTCACCCGTCTGTCTGCCCGTTTGTCCATCTCACCATCTGTTCGCCTACCCATCCGTCCGTCCATCTGTCCATCCATCGGACCATCCAAGGTGTGCAGGCAAGCCCTGTGTCTGTGCCTCGCACCCGGTTGGTGGGAGAACATGAGGCCTGTGCTCCGTCGTAGCTAATGGGAGGTTTGCGTCACAGCCCATTTGGTTGGCCAAGGCAGGCGGGGAGAGAGCATAGGTTTAGGGCGTCAGTGGTTGTCTGTTCACGGGGGTGGGGTCCTGCCAGGAGTGTGTCCCCCAGCTCCTGGGCAGGGGGAGGAGGCCTCTTCCCAGGCCGGCTTTCGGGCCCCTTGCAGCAGCCGCAGCGGGAGAAATGCACGGTGGGAGCCTCTCGGTGTTCACTGTCATCCTTTCCTGTGCCGGGAGCCCCGCCTCCTGCTCCTCCCTGGTTCTTCCAGGCCCCTCAGGACAGGTCTGTGGGCCGCATCCGTGACGCGGGCAGGGCCTCCCCGTTTCTGTGGTCAGCAGGACCGGAGGGTAAATGCTCTGGGTGAAAGACGCCGCTCGTTTCACTCCCAGCTTGGCGCGGTTTCCGCGTTGAGAAGGGACATCGGACTGCCCCTGGGCCTCCTGTTGAGGGAACCCTCCTGTGGCGAGGACCCCCCACACACACACCCTCACTCTGCTCTCTAGGAAGAGGTGGTCCACGGCTCAGCCGGAGGGAAGTACTGCAGAGACACGCGGTCTTCTCCAGGACCTCGTGCTTTTTCAAATATTCGTTATTTTACTTTCCAGAAACCTGTTTTCCTGCCACCGCTGACTGAAGTCCCCTTAAAAGGTGTGGGTCCACTTATTCCTGAAGCCTCAGGCAGGTTACCCTGCTGCCTCAGCCAACACAAGCGGTGCCCCAGAAACGGATCCCAAGTAGTTTCTGCCCATCAGATGTCACGTGGTGGAGCCCTTCGTAGGTCCAGGAGGGCTGTTAAGGTTTGGTGGCCACAGGCTGGGAAAGTGACAGATACTTGAAAATGGGCATCCAGAGAGCGTTGGGTCTCCTCGGCCCAGTGCAGGGTGGAAGGAGGCCCTGCCGTGGACCGCCTTCCTCCGTGGCTCACACACAGTTGGCACGTCAGCCAGGAAGCTTCTGACTCTGAGGAGAGGAAACAGGCTCTCCCCCGAGACCGGGGCCCATGAAAAATGGCAGTTTGATGTTGCCGCTGCCACCCTAACCGGTGCCAGCTTGACAATGAGTCTTCTGTTCCGCAGCCTGCCAGGCTCCTGCACCTGAGGCCCTGGGGAGAGGCCATGATGGGGGGCTCGTGCGGGGGCGAGAGCCCCTCCTGAGCCCAGCACGGTCCCGGTGCGGGGGCTTCTGCTGGTGTCCTGTGCCGCCTGCCTTCCCCTTCCCCCACTGACAGTCTGTGGGGCAGAGGGGCTGCTGGGCGGGGGGTGCGGTGAACTGAGGGCTCCAGGTGTCTGGGGCTGCTGGGCAGAGTTGGGGGGGGGCAGTCAGGAGGGGGGAGAAGAGCACTGCTCCCCTGTCTGCTCTGTGGCTTGTCCCAATGCGGGTGACTCCCTAGGGCTCACCCTGGCCAGCGGGCCTGACCCCCCCACCCTGCTCCACTCCTGCCCACTCCAGCCAGGGAGCATTCCAGGCCCTTCTGAAGCCTGTCCCCACCCCCATGCACGCACACCCACTCCCCGTGGGCAAGCCAGGGTTGCCAGAGTCCAAGCCTCTGTAGGACCAGCCAGTTCTGTCCCCCACTCTGCCACACCCCAAAGGCCAGTGACCCCCCCCCCCCGTCCCCCTGCTCCCCGGATCACTTTGTGGGAAGCTGTGCCGCTTCGTTTAGTCATGACCACAGAGGTGGGGGGGGGGGGGGGCAGGATACGCCACAGCCAGCCCTCCCCCCGCCCCTGCCCCCTCGCAGACCTGATCTGCCCAGGAGACCCAGGAGACAGGTGCTGCCACCCCCACCCTGGGTCTGGCCAGTCACCTGCGCCGCGACAGAGTGTGTGCATCTGTGCACGCTGCTAATCAGACCACCCCGGCATCACTCCCGCGGCCACGTCTCCCCCACCCCACCTCCCTCCACGGTCCTGTTCTACAATTGAGTGCCTTAATACTAGTTTACAAATACTGTGTATTTATGGGAAACCAGGAAGCTCGCCCCTCCTGTGATTGGACCTGTCCCCTTGTCGGCAGAGGAGGCCTGGGCCGCCCCAGAGACGCGTGTGTGTGTGTGTGTGTGTGTGTGTGTGTGTGCGCGCGCGCGCGCGTGCTCCCCCACTGTGCAGTGGGCCTTGGCGGGTCTCCCCAGCCAGAGGGGCCGTTGCTGGACGCGGCACTGAGGTCCGTGCAGTGAGGCGGCACAGGCTGGCGGGGAGAGGAGAGGACCAAGGACCAAGGCCAGCAGAGGGTGGCACTGTCCTGGCGCTCCCTCCCCATCACATTATTGTACTCTCTCATTAACAGGGACTCTGTTTCCACCCAGGCCACCCTTTCCCCCTCTCCTGTCGGTGTCCTGAGCTCTTGGACACAAAATCCAGGTCCGGCCGCTCCCACCTCCCCACCCCGAGAGGAGCAGAAAACTGCCCATGGGTTCTAGTAAATGAGTTCTGTCGGGTGTTTTGTTTTTCAGTTATTATTATTGTTTCCCTTTTTTATATATTTAAAAGGCAGTATCTTTTATACTGTGAATTTGCAGTAGGAGATGCATAATGCACTTTTTTTTTTACTTCTGTTTGGTGTGTACTGTATATAGTCTGTGTGCTTCTTGTGAGGAAAATAAACTTTTTCTGTATAAAACAGTTGATGGCCTGTAAGCTTATGAAAAAGACAACGGCGTCTTCGGCCCTGGCTCAGGGCTGTGGGGCATCACTGTGGTCCCCGTGGCCAGTCTCTGCAGACCTTCAGGTGTGCTAAGCCAGAGGGACCCACAGTTACACCCTGGGTGACCTCCCACGCTGGCGGGCCAGCTGTTGACAACTGCTGTGTTAAGTGCCCCCGGAAACCTGGCCGGGTTAGACCAGCCTGCACCCCCACCCCCCAGGCCATTCCAGAGAGCACGGTGGCAGAAATCAGTCAAGGCAGCCACAACTCAAAGCTGGCTGCGGGGAGGGGGGCCAGGGGGCAGCAGGGAGGGCCCTTGCCTTGCATGTGGCTGTTCCGGTTCCATCCCCGGCGCCCCTTGATCCCCGTGCCCTGCCAGGAGCGATTCCTGAGTGCAGAGCCAGGAATAAGCTCTGAGCACCACCAGGTGTAGCCCAAAACCAAGACAAAAATCCTGGCAGGTGGGGCCCAGGGCTCCACAGGAAGGAAACTAGTGGGACGCCAAGGGGCCTCGGTCCGTTGAGTTGGACCCACGAAAGCGCCGACGCTAGAACCTTCCAGTTGGCTCCAGGCGCCCCAAGGTAGAGCGGGGACCTGAGAGGACAGGGCGTAAGTAAAATTCTCCCTTTGCCTGCGGGTGACCAGGGTTTTTCTCCCGACACGACAGAGTCCCCGGAGTCCCAGAAATGCTCACCCCTCCCAGGCACGGGCCTCCTCCCTCCTGGTTTCCTCAGGGAGACAGATCATGGGGCGCAGGGAGGGCACCCCCGTTCCACTGTCCCCCCGGGTGGGATTTGGGTGCGGGTGTTTTGTTCTCATACCCACGCGGAAACTGTCATAGAGGTGGGCTCCGAAGAACATCCCAGCACCCACCTCGGACGCGGGGGCCAGTGGAGGTGAGCTACTAGAACTGCCAGGGTGAGGACCCCCGGACGCGGCCCGTCCCGGCAGGCTGAAGGCCCCTCACGGCCGCTCCTGGACTCCAGGCAGAGCCCGGAAGCCGGGCCCGGCACTCGGTGTATTCCCGCTGGATTCCCAGGGAACGCCGAGGGCCAAGTTTAGAAGCTGTCGGGCTCACACTGTGATGCAATCACGTCTGGTTGCAGCCACATTCCACGCGCGCTTCCCAGGGGCGACGCCCACATCACCCCACCGGAACCTGAGCGTTCCCCAGCCGTGCCGGGGAGCCGTGACTCGGGCTGCAGGGATGCCTGTTAGCCCAGCTCGTCCTCAGAGCAACAGTACTGGTGCGCACGGCCTTGCCAGGGACGCCCAACGGGTACGGGTTTTCTTTGCTTCGGCCCCGGGGGCCGGCCCCTGCCCGAGGCCCAGCCAGCTGGGTTGGGCTTCAGGAGTCTGGACAGGAGGGAAGTCAGGACGACCTGCTCGTCCGCTAGAGGAGAGGGCGGGGACCGGAGAGCTGGGCGCCGGGTTCGATTCCCCACCCCCAGAGTCCCTCGAGTCCCTCCAGGTGTGGGTCCTGGGTCCGAGCACACCAGGATCATCAGGAACTGGGGGGTAAACCTGTTCCCAGTGTGCTCCTCGCTGGCTCATGCCAGGTCCCCTGGAGCGTGGATGTGCCTGCACCAGGGAGCACTTTCACGAGGGGGTGAGGCGAATGAGCACTGTGTGAAGAGCACTAGGCAATACCCCCCTCCCCTTTGGGGTCCTGGACTCACAGTGGTGCTCAAGGATCACTCCGGACACGTTTCCAGGGATCAAACGTGGATCAAGCTGAGGCCAGAGGCAGAGCACAGCAGGTCGAACACTTGCCTTGCACAGGGCTTTGATCCCTGGCGTCCCAGAGGGTCCCACAAACCCACCTCCTGAGTACAGAACCAGGAGTGATCCCTGAGCATTCCTGGGTGTGGTTCCCCAAAAACAAACCAAAAAATGGGTCAGCCCCCTGCAGGATAAGCGTCTTCACCCCCTACCACCTCTCTGCCCTTTGCCACTCCACACGTGTCTATCATCTGCCTTGCACCTGGCAGACCGGGGTTCGAGCCCTCACACCCCCTAGAGTCCCCCGAGCACCGCCAGGAGTAGTTCCTGAGTGCAAAGCCAGGAGTCTGCCCTGAGCATCTCCGGGTGTGACCCAGATAAGAGACACAGCTCAGGTGCCGGCTCAAAGGAGCCCTGGGTGAGTGGTTCCCGCTGACTGTGGGGCAGGGCAGAGGGAGCAGGCCAGCTGCTCGGGCACACACGCGCCCTCCTCCCCTCCCCGGACCCCACAGCGGACGTACCCCGGCTCGGCCTGTCCCGGGTACAAGCACTGCTTGTCCCGGACCTGGCCCCGAGCTGGTCTCCCAGCGAGCCTGCGGGGAGGGGGAGAGCGTGGGCCGCGGGGAGCGTGGGCTTGTCCCCGCCTCGAGCCAGAGGCACATCCTGTCCTGGCGTTGCCATGGCACAGCCAAACATCTGCCACAACAGAGCCGGGCGGGCGGCGGGCAGCGGGCAGTGGATGGATGAGGGCCGGGCCGGGCCAGCGGAGCCCGGGTGGAGGGGGCTCTCGTCCGAGCAAGACGAGAACTGGGGAGCCGGAGCAATAGCACGGGGGAGGGTGTTGGCCTTGTATAAGGCCCACCCGGGTTCGATCCCTGGCATCCCATAGGGTGGTCCCCCGAGCACCGCCAGGAGCGATTCCTGAGTGCAGAGCCAGGAGGAACCCCTGAGCATTCCCGGTTGCGACCCAAATAGGAAAAAAAAAAAGGCAAGACGAGAACTGGACAATGATGTAGGACACTGTGACTGACCCTCTCCTCTGCCCCCCCCCCCCGGCGCAGCCGCGTGGACGGCACCCGCGTGTGTGCACAGCCTGCTGCAGGCCTACGTGACTTAAAAAAATAAATAAATAGAAAATGCCAATATGAGTAACTTTGTAAATCTTGGTGCTTTCACAAAATAAATGAAGGGGGGGAAAAAAGTTCCCCGGGATGGGGCCAGCGATCGCACAGTGGGGAGGGCATTTGCCTTGCACGCAGGACAACCTGGGTTCGATCCCGGCACTTCCTACGGCCGCCCAGCATGGCCAGGAGTGGTGCAGGGCCAGGAGCAAGCCTTGGGTGTGGCCCCAAAATAATGCCGCCAAAAAGTTCCTAGGCCTGGGGCTACAAGGCATGCATTGCCCGACTGACCCCCCCAACCCCCAAGTCTCTCTGGAGCCCCTCGATGGTCCCTGGCCCTGCATCCTTGGTCCCTCTCACTGAACTGTCAGCCCTGGCCAGTTGAACAGAGCCCTGAACAGTGCTCCCTGGCCCCTCTGAGCAGCAACTGAGGCTCCTCACCTCTCCACCAAACGCATGAAGCTTCCTGGGTAATGAGTGAGCTTGCCGCCGGGCCGAAACCTCCGCCTTGCTATTGAGACGGGATGGAACAAACCACCTGGGCCCCAGAGACAGCCCGGGTTCGACCCTCGCCCCCTCCACAGCGGGCTCGCCCCTCTTAGCACCACCAGGGGTCACTCCTGAGCACAGAGCCAGGACTAGCCCCGAGCACCTGGGGCTGGGACTCC